GGGACACAGGCCACAGAGACACAGGCCACAGAGACAGGCGGGACACAGGGCGGGACACAGGCCACAGAGACACAGGCGGGACACAGGGCGGGACACAGGCCACAGAGACACAGGCGGGACACAGGCCACAGAGACACAGGCGGGACACAGGCCACAGAGACACAGGCGGGACACAGGCCACAGAGACACAGGCGGGACACAGGCCACAGAGACACAGGCGGGACACAGGGCGGGACACAGGCGGGACACAGGCCACAGGGACACAGGCCACAGAGACAGGCGGGACACAGGGCGGGACACAGGCCACAGAGACACAGGCGGGACACAGGGCGGGACACAGGCCACAGACACAGGCGGGACACAGGGCGGGACACAGGCCACAGAGACAAAGGCGGGACACAGGGCGGGACACAGGCCACAGAGACACAGGCGGGACACAGGCCACAGAGACACAGGCGGGACACAGGCCACAGAGACACAGGCGGGACACAGGGCGGGACACAGGGCGGGACACAGGGCGGGACACAGGGCGGGACACAGGGCGGGACACAGGCCACAGAGACACAGGCGGGACACAGGCCACAGAGACACAGGCGGGACACAGGCCACAGAGACACAGGCGGGACACAGGCCACAGAGACACAGGCGGGACACAGGCCACAGAGACACAGGCGGGACACAGGCCACAGAGACACAGGCGGGACACAGGGCGGGACACAGGGCGGGACACAGGGCGGGACACAGGGCGGGGCTGTTATTCTACATTCACTCATATATTTGCGACGACATGCATACTATAGTTTGGTCTGATTGGTTTGTCTGTATTTTGAATATTTAAAATCTCACTAATAAGTACTTTGACTTGTGCAGTGAAACAGCAGAATAACATGTGTGACCCACGTCTCAGAGGCAGCGGTTCTAAGTGTAAATCTTGCACTAACAGTTCATTGGACCCGCACTAACTGGAGTTTCAATATGGCCGCCGGTCAAACTCACTCCTGCCCTTCCCTGAGCGGCGTCCCTTTAAAAGTGTTCATTGTGAAAATAATACTGAGCAGAACATTAAAGAAAGGAAAATGACACCTTAAGTTTATTCTGACTGCTGATTGATTCTTGTCATTATTATTATAACTATCATCATTTCTCGCAAAAAAAACAAGAAAATACTTACAAATACACAATACAATCAACCAACTTTACACTGGTTTTCTTGTCCTCATTCAACACAAGCTTCTTTCGACAAATTTTGTTTTTTCTGTGTCAGTCTGTTTCCGCTCCATCGCAGAACTCAAGTCCTAACTGTGATTATGAATTAACTATAAAATAGAGTTAGAGAAGGCGAGCTAGCTGGAGCTTTACTGATTCCACATGCAGCAGTGAGTCTCCCATCAGTTTGAAGAGCAGGACCTTCTCTCTCCCACAACAATCACTGCACTATATTCTGTAAGTACTATGTTTTATTATCATTATTATCATTTCCATTTCGTGCATCACAGTGAATCCAAACAAAACAAAACAAAGTAAAGAACATTTCCTCTGATGCGGTTCATCAGAGACTCTAAAACACAACTTATTTCCTCCACATTTGACCCATCTTTCAGAAGTCAGAGCGGCGCTTGTTAGGGAACCTTCTGCATGTTTTTATCGATCGAAGAAACCCGTCGCTGAGAGGAAACTCCACGATGGAGCAGGTCGTTCTGCTGTAGCGATAGATACAGACGCAGCAGGCGCAGCAGGTCGTTCTGCTGTAGCGATAGATACAGACGCAGCAGGCGCAGCAGGTCGTTCTGCTGTAGCGATAGATACAGACGCAGCAGGCGCAGCAGGTCGTTCTGCTGTAGCGATAGATACAGACGCAGCAGGCGCAGTATGTCGTTCTGCTGTAGCGATAGATACAGACGCAGCAGGCGCAGCAGGTCGTTCTGCTGTAGCGATAGATACAGACGCAGCAGGCGCAGCAGGTCGTTCTGCTGTAGCGATAGATACAGACGCAGCAGGCGCAGTATGTCGTTCTGCTGTAGCGATAGATACAGACGCAGCAGGCGCAGTAGGTCGTTCTGCTGTAGCGATAGATACAGACGCAGTAGGTCGTTCTGCTGTAGCGATAGATACAGACGCAGTAGGTCGTTCTGCTGTAGCGATAGATACAGACGCAGTAGGTCGTTCTGCTGTAGCGATAGATACAGACGCAGCAGGCGCAGCAGGTCGTTCTGCTGTAGCGATAGATACAGACGCAGTAGGTCGTTCTGCTGTAGCGATAGATACAGACGCAGTAGGTCGTTCTGCTGTAGCGATAGATACAGACGCAGTAGGTCGTTCTGCTGTAGCGATAGATACAGGCGCAGCAGGTCGTTCTGCTGTAGCGATAGATACAGACGCAGTAGGTCGTTCTGCTGTAGCGATAGATACAGACGCAGTAGGTCGTTCTGCTGTAGCGATAGATACAGACGCAGTAGGTCGTTCTGCTGTAGCGATAGATACAGACGCAGCAGGCGCAGTAGGTCGTTCTGCTGTAGCGATAGATACAGACGCAGCAGGCGCAGCAGGTCGTTCTGCTGTAGCGATAGATACAGACGCAGTAGGTCGTTCTGCTGTAGCGATAGATACAGACGCAGTAGGTCGTTCTGCTGTAGTGATAGATACAGACGCAGCAGGTCGTTCTGCTGTAGCGATAGATACAGACGCAGCAGGCGCAGTAGGTCGTTCTGCTGTAGCGATAGATACAGACGCAGCAGGCGCAGCAGGTCGTTCTGCTGTAGCGATAGATACAGACGCAGCAGGCGCAGTATGTCGTTCTGCTGTAGCGATAGATACAGACGCAGCAGGCGCAGTAGGTCGTTCTGCTGTAGCGATAGATACAGACGCAGCAGGCGCAGTATGTCGTTCTGCTGTAGCGATAGATACAGACGCAGTAGGTCGTTCTGCTGTAGCGATAGATACAGACGCAGTAGGTCGTTCTGCTGTAGCGATAGATACAGACGCAGCAGGCGCAGCAGGTCGTTCTGCTGTAGCGATAGATACAGACGCAGTAGGTCGTTCTGCTGTAGCGATAGATACAGACGCAGTAGGTCGTTCTGCTGTAGCGATAGATACAGACGCAGTAGGTCGTTCTGCTGTAGCGATAGATACAGACGCAGCAGGCGCAACAGGTCGTTCTGCTGTAGCGATAGATACAGACGCAGTAGGTTGTTCTGCTGTAGTGATAGATACAGACGCAGCAGGCGCAGCAGGTCGTTCTGCTGTAGCGATAGATACAGACGCAGCAGGCGCAGTAGGTCGTTCTGCTGTAGCGATAGACACAGACGCAGCAGGCGCAGCAGGTCGTTCTGCTGTAGCGATAGATACAGACGCAGTAGGTCGTTCTGCTGTAGCGATAGATACAGACGCAGCAGGTCATTCTGCTGTAGCGATAGACACAGACGCAGCAGATCGTTCTGCTGTAGCGATAGATACAGACGCAGCAGGCGCAGTAGGTTGTTCTGCTGTAGTGATAGATACAGACGCAGCAGGCGCAGCAGGTCGTTCTGCTGTAGCGATAGATACAGACGCAGCAGGCGCAGCAAGTCGTTCTGCTGTAGCGATAGATACAGACGCAGCAGGTCATTCTGCTGTAGCGATAGACACAGCCGCAGCAGATCGTTCTGCTGTAGCGATAGATACAGACGCAGCAGGCGCAGTAGGTCGTTCTGCTGTAGCGATAGACACAGACGCAGCAGGCGCAGTAGGTTGTTCTGCTGTAGCGATAGACACAGACGCAGCAGGCGCAGTAGGTCGTTCTGCTGTAGCGATAGACACAGACGCAGCAGGCGCAGTAGGTTGTTCTGCTGTAGCGATAGATACAGACGCAGCAGGTCGTTCTGCTGTAGCGATAGATACAGACGCAGCAGGCGCAGTAGGTTGTTCTGCTGTAGCGATAGACACAGACGCAGCAGGCGCAGTAGGTTGTTCTGCTGTAGCGATAGACACAGACGCAGCAGGTCGTTCTGCTGTAGCGATAGACACAGACGCAGCAGGCGCAGTAGGTTCTTCTGCTGTAGCGATAGATACAGACGCAGCAGGTCGTTCTGCTGTAGCGATAGATACAGACGCAGCAGGTCGTTCTGCTGTAGCGATAGATACAGACGCAGCAGGCGCAGCAGGTCGTTCTGCTGTAGCGATAGACACAGACGCAGCAGGCGCAGTAGGTTGTTCTGCTGTAGCGATAGATACAGACGCAGCAGGCGCAGTAGGTCGTTCTGCTGTAGCGATAGACACAGACGCAGCAGGCGCAGTAGGTTGTTCTGCTGTAGCGATAGATACAGACGCAGCAGGTCGTTCTGCTGTAGCGATAGATACAGACGCAGCAGGCTCAGTAGGTCGTTCTGCTGTAGCAATAGACACAGACGCAGCAGGCGCTTCTGCTGTAGCGATAGATACAGACGCAGCAGGCGCAGTAGGTTGTTCTGCTGTAGCGATAGATACAGACGCAGCAGGCGCAGTAGGTCGTTCTGCTGTAGCAATAGACACAGACGCAGCAGGCGCAGTAGGTCGTTCTGCTGTAGCAATAGACACAGACGCAGCAGGCGCAGTAGGTTGTTCTGCTCTAGCGATAGACACAGACGCAGCAGGCGCAGTAGGTTGTTCTGCTCTAGCGATAGATACAGACGCAGCAGGTGCTTCTGCTGTAGCGATAGATACAGACGCAGCAGGCGCAGTAGGTTGTTCTGCTGTAGCGATAGATACAGACGCAGCAGGCGCAGTAGATCGTTCTGCTCTAGCAATAGATACAGACGCAGCAGGCGCAGCAGGTCGTTCTGCTGTAGCGATAAACACAGACGCAGCAGGCGCAGTAGGTCGTTCTGCTGTAGCGATAGATACAGACGCAGCAGGCGCAGTAGGTCGTTCTGCTGTAGCGATAGATACAGACGCAGCAGGTGCAGTAGGTTGTTCTGCTGTAGCGATAGATACAGACGCAGCAGGCGCAGTATGTCGTTCTGCTGTAGCGATAGATACAGACGCAGCAGGTCGTTCTGCTGTAGTGATAGATACAGACGCAGCAGGTCGTTCTGCTGTAGCGATAGACACAGACGCAGCAGGCGCAGTAGGTCGTTCTGCTGTAGCAATAGACACAGACGCAGCAGGCGCAGTAGGTCGTTCTGCTGTAGCGACAGACACAGACGCAACAGGCGCAGTAGGTAGTTCGCAGCAGGTGCAGTAGGTCGTTCTGCTGTAGCGACAGACACAGACGCAGCAGGCGCAGTAGGTCGATCGCAGCAGGTGCAGTAGGTTGTTCTGCTGTAGCGATAGATACAGACGCAGCAGGCGCAGTAGATCGTTCTGCTGTAGCGATAGATACAGACGCAGCAGGCGCAGTATGTCGTTCTGCTGTAGCGATAGATACAGACGCAGCAGGCGCAGTAGGTCGTTCTGCTGTAGCGATAGACACAGACGCAGCAGGCGCAGTAGGTCGTTCTGCTGTAGCGATAGATACAGACGCAGCAGGTCGTTCTGCTGTAGCGATAGACACAGACGCAGCAGGCGCAGTAGGTCGTTCTGCTGTAGCGATAGACACAGACGCAGCAGGCGCAGTAGGTCGTTCTGCTGTAGCGATAGACACAGACGCAGCAGGCGCAGTAGGTCGTTCTGCTGTAGCGACAGACACAGACGCAACAGGCGCAGTAGGTCGTTCGCAGCAGGTGCAGTAGGTCGTTCTGCTGTAGCGACAGACACAGACGCAGCAGGCGCAGTAGGTCGATCGCAGCAGGTGCAGTAGGTCGTTCTGCTGTAGCGACAGACACAGACGCAGCAGGCGCAGTAGGTTGTTCTGCTGTAGCGACAGATGAACAGAGATCATACAGTTCTACACCTGCCACAGTGGGGCAGCTGCGGCTGCAAAGTGCCAAACTGTTGTGTTTAGAATGAGTCTGGTGTGTGTGTGAATGGTTGGTGGTGGTGGGAGGGGCCGATGGCACAGACTGGTTAATTCACTCCTGTCAGTGTGCCCCAGGGCAGCTGTGGCTACAGGAGTTTATCACCACAGAGTGTCCAATAAAGCGCTGTGTAAAAATTATGCATTATTTATAATTGTTATGATATTATTTTATATTTTATTTTGAGGGCGATAGTAGCTCAGTTGGTAGAGCATTGGCCTTTGAGCCTGAAGGTTGTGGGTTCGAGTCCATCATAAGACCTACTTCAAGACTCCCACTGATGTCTGCTGTCGTTGTGTCCTTGGGCAAGACACTTAACCCCACTTTGCCTGAAGCCCCAACTGAAAGATCTCAGCTCCTGTGGACTCAGCACCTGCAGGAGGATCAGTGAGGGGCTGGTGCTCTGTGGACTGGGTCCGACTGCCACCCCCCCGACCCAGACATGGACTAAGGGGAAGAAAATGGATGGATAAACATTAGTTCTGACCGGGCGAGCTATTGCCATGTATGTGTGTTGCTATGATGGTTGCTAAGGGATTTCCCCCCGATAACAAAGGCCTCTGATTGGGCAATATATATGTCTCATCTATTACATTTACAAAGACAAATCACAATACAAACTCCAGGATCGTAGAGAGCACCAGTTACTGAGCTCCAGGAGTTTCCTTTTCAATTTAAGTTCAGAGTAGCCAGAGCAAAACTGGAGCAAAACTTTGTCCATAGCGCCTTTCACAGACCAGAGTCACAAAGCGCTGTACGATTGTTGTGGCATTTGAGAGATGGGAGAAGGTTAGCATTGTCCATCTATATACAGTCCATGGTATGTATCCTTGTTTTTTCTACGATTTTTCTAAAAAAGTAAACATTATATTCTGCGCTAAAGGGGCTTTTTTCAAATCAATGTGTCGTCACCAGAAATGTGACGGCTTTATAATCCGCTCCGCTCCATGAACCATAAAAATACGTCACCCACAGCTTAATCCTATGAACAACCTCCATAACTTTTAAAATACATAAAACTGCAGTTCACTCGTCGGCCACCGGGGTCATCCGCTGGACGTTTTATGGCAAAGTCTTTCATCTCTGCAGACCACACACTGCTGCTGGAGATGGAGCGTAAAATATTATGGAATCTTGGAAGCATTAAATGTCACAAATAATTATGAGGAAAGCCATATATTACGTAGAAAACTGTGCAAGACTTTTCACAGATCATCAGTTTTGGTCTCAATGCTGCGATGGTCTGTTGTCATAACACGAGGCTTACATTTCTAACTAAAAAGTTATGAAACTCTGCCTCTCCATGGGCCTGACTCTGAGTCCCAGCAGGAGGCCAGTCCCTGTGCTCCTCAGAGTCCCAGCAGGAGGCCAGTCCCTGTGCTCCTCAGAGTCCCAGCAGGAGGCCAGTCCCTGTGCTCCTCAGAGTCCCAGCAGGAGGCCAGTCCCTGTGCTCCTCAGAGTCCCAGCAGGAGGCCAGTCCCTGTGCTCCTCATAGTCCCAGCAGGAGGCCAGTCCCTGTGCTCCTCAGAGTCTCAGCAGGAGGCCAGTCCCTGTGCTCCTCAGAGTCCCAGCAGGAGTCCAGTCCCTGTGC